ATGAGCAATAGCAATATTACCAATAACATAACCTTCCCAAAGCCTTAAACCTGTAGCACCATAAATCATCAAATAAGAACAGTGCAGAAGTCAACATAAGCTATACTGACATTTCTTAATGAGGCATGACAATTCAACACCAGTAATATAACAGCTACCACAACAAATCATATTACCTTTCAGAAAGAAAAATGTTATTCCCACAGTGAAGCACTTCTTGATACTGGCTAAGTATCATGGTTTCTCAGATAAGTGTACAGCTGAACTCAGAGGGAACCAGGCAGACTTCCCAGAGTTTCTGTGCTGTGTACTACACATCCCCACACGGGCTAAGAGGAGCACTATGTCATTAGCAGAGCACCAGCAACATTCTATCATCAGTTAGCACTGTGATTCATATTTTTAAAAGTATTTTACTGTCATTATTCTTCAATACCTTTTAAAATTAACAGTAAAAAAAGCTTTGTTTTATTTTAAGCATAAAATATTTGTTACAAAAATACATTTGACACAATACTAGATTAAATACAATTCACAGGGGTGGTTTATCTTGCTAATTTTTTTGCTTTCTTTCAAGGGTTCAAGTCAGAAATACCTTTTTCTTTTTCGTTTCTTCTCTCTGCAAATACTGACAGATATACTTTAGTGAAATGCTCACTTCTCATTCAATATGAGTCAAAATGTTCATTTTATCACAGAACCATTTATGTTACAAACATAAATCACTTAGTCTATTATTCCCATCTGAAATAGCCCACAGTGGCTGACCAGCAGCAAACAGCAAACTCATAATAATTGTCCTAACAGATCTTTAAGTAAAGAGTTTCACTGGAGGATTTTAAAGACAATCTACCAAACAGAACAGTCATAAAGAGTGCATGGCTGGGGTGGGCATTGTGGTGCAGTGGGTTAAGTCGCCCTTAGATATCTGCATCCCATGTTGGAATGCAGGTTTGAGTCCCAGCTCCTCAACTTCCAATCCAGCTTCATGCAATGTGCCTGGAAGGGCAACCGATGATGGCACAAGTACTTGGGTCCCTGCCACCCACGAGGGAAATCTGGACCTGGGTGGAGTTTTTGGCTCCTGGTCACCCTGGCTGCTGCAGGCATTTGAGGAATGAACCAGTGGATGGAAGACGGATAGATCTCTCTCAATATATATTTGTACCTCTATCTGTATCTCCCCACACACCCCCTTCCGCTTTCTGTCACTCTATCTTTCAAATAAACAAAAAGTAAGTATTCTTCAGATTTATTTATTTATTTGAAAGGCAGAGTTAGAGAGAGGCAGAGGCTGATAGAGAGGTCTTCCACCCACTGGTTCACTGCCCAAATGGCTGCAACGGCCAGAGCTGGGCTGCCAGGAGCCAGGAGCATCTTCCAGGTCTCCCAGGTGGATGCAGGGGCCAAGCACTTGGGCCATCTTCCACTGCTTTCCTAGGCCACAGCAGAGAAACGGATTGGAAGTGGAGCAGTCGGGACTCAAACCGATGCCCATATGGGATGCCAGCACTACAGGTAGCAGCTTTACCTGCTATGCCACAGTGCCGGCCCCCCCAAAATAAATATTTTTTAAAAGAGTGTATGGTCCAACAAAACAGTATAAAATGAAATCAGAATTAGCAGTAGCTGTCACTTCATTCCTCATCTTCTCAAAACTCAAACTATCTCTTCTATATAGCATTTCTAAGCTATTTGATTTTTTTTTATTTATTGTGGGTTGACTCCATTTTATAATACGCTAAGCCAAATATTCCCTTTCCAACTTCTTCAGATATAAAACCATTTTTGAATTTGAGGATTCACAGGATTTAGAAAGACTCCAGAGGGATTTTTATGCCTACTGTAGAAGAAGAAAGTGAGTAGTGACTATATTTGCTTTTGTTTCATTTTCAGACTTAACTCAAAATCTTGTTAAATTAATTTACTTATTTGAGAAGTAAACACAGGTAGAGGGCTCCCATCTGTTGGTTTGCTCCCCAAATGCCTGGAACAACTAGGGCTGATGCTGGGAGCCAGCAATTCAATTCAGGACTCCCAGGGATGGCTGGGACCCAAATACTTGAACTATCGCCACCACCTCCCAGAGTCTGCATTAGCAGGAAGCTGCAGTCTGGAGTCAGAGTTGATATCAAATCAGGGATTAATTGTGGGATGCAGGCATCTTTTTATTATTATTATTATTATTTGAAAGGTAGAGTTATAGACAGTGAGAGAGAGATTCAGAGAGAAAGGTCTTCCGTTGTTTCACCAACCAAATGGTTGCTACGGCCGGTGCTGCGCCGATCCAAAGCCAGGAGCCAGGTGCTTCTTCCTGGTCTCCCATACTGGTGCAGGGCCCAAGCACTTGAGCCATCTTCCACTGCCCTCCCGGGCCACAGCAGAGAGCTGGACTGGAAGAGGGGCAGCCAGGACTAGAAGCCGGCAACCATATGGGATGCCGGCACCACAGGCGGAGGATTAACAAAGGGAGCCACGGCGCCGGCCCCATGTGGGATGCAGGCATCTTAACCAAGTCTTAACTGGTAGAAGAAATGCCCACTCCTCCATTCAAAATTTTTAATTCATGTAGTAGTACTCTCTCTTACCTTTCCTGGACCTCAGCTTCCTTATCTAAAGGTGGAAACAGCATAAACTTCAGGCTGAAACATAACCCACGCTGCAGAAGCCAGCCTGACACCTCTTCTCACAACTCAGGCACATTTGCAAAGCACAATCATTGGGGGGCCGGTGCTGTGGTGTAGCGGATAAAGCCACCGCCTGCAGTGCTGGCATCCCATATGGGTGCCAGTTCATGACCCGGCTGCTCCACTTCCAATCCAGCTCTCTGCTATGGCCTGAGGAAGCAGTACAAGATGGCCCAAGTCCTTGGGCACTTGCACCCGCATGGGAGACCCGGAGGAAGCTCCTGGCTCCTGGCTTCAGATTGGCACAGCTCTGGCCATTGCGGCCAACTGGGGAGTGAACCAGTGGGTGGAAGACCTATCTCTCTCTCTCTCTCTGCCTCTCTGCCTCTCCTTCTCTCTCTGTGTAACTCTGACTTTCAAGTAAAATAAAAAAAAATCTTTCAAAAGAAAAAGCACAATCATTAAAACAACACAAACTTATTATAATACTGACTGTTTTAATAAATGATATAAAGCCAACATTGTTGGTTGAAGGTTACAATTCTGAAGTTAACTAAGCTTAAATATTAAAGTAGTTCAGAAAATTAAAAATATGCAGCTGCAATCTAACACTTCTCTGTGTCATAGTATATAATGTTACCAACAAGAATTCTCTAGAATAAATACAAACTGAAATTCTTTGATCTAAGAAGAAGGTTGTAAATACTATCAATGGTTTTGGATTGAAGAATGAAGTTCGCTATTTGTAACTGAAGAAAGTACGTGTATCTCTCTTTCTCTTTATTTCACCTTTAAAGTGATCTTGAAATATGACCCTGAGATAGAGTTAATACTCTGATCATGATTGGGGAGGATGGTCATTCAACATTTTGTCAAACAGATTGTGAAACAGAAAACAGTACAAGGTAAAAATCACTTAAGTAAAATCAAAGAAAGTTGACCCATACTATATCATTTATCTATTAAACTGTCACTATTCTTTTCTTCATTGGTTCTGCATTTGAGGCAAAATAAATAAATAAATAAAAAGATCAATAATACAAATTAAACTTTAAAATCTTTGACATTGCTTACATGCTTAGCAGATGATCATTAACAATATTCCCAAATAATCACAGAATTTCTCAATAAAACTTTACAAAGAGAGCCGTTTTATACCTTAGTGTCACCAAAACAAACTACAAGGATACTCAAAGAGTCTGTGGAGTGGCCGAAGTTGTGCTGCAGTGTTAAGCCACTGCGCCTGTGACGCCAGCATCCTATATGAACACCAGTTCAAGTCCCGGTTGCTCCATTTCTGATCCAGCACCATGCTAATGTGCCGGGAAAGCGGAGCAAGACGGCCCAGGTGCTTGGCTCCTGTTACCACATGGGAGACCCAGTTGTAGTTCCTGGCTCCTGATGTTAGCTTTACCCAGCCCCAGCCTCAGCCCCATCCATTGCAGCCATTTGAGGAGTGAACCAGCAGATGGAAGATCTCTCACTCTCCCTGTCTCTCTCCCTGTCTGTCTCTGTCTGCCTGTCTGTATCACCCTCTCTCTCTTTCTCTGCTTTTCAAGTAACAAAATAAATCTTTTTTAAAAAAGTTTGTTGAAATGTGCATCATCTTTTAATTCCATTTTTCCCCGAACTTTCTTGAAGTACCCTCATACTTTTTTTTTTTTTTTGACAGGCAGAGTGGACAGTGAGAGAGAGAGACAGAGAGAAAGGTCTTCCTTTGCCGTTGGTTCACCCTTCAATGGCTGCCGCGGCCAGCGCGCTGCGGCCAGTGCACCACGCTGATCCGATGGCAGGAGCCAGGTACTTATCCTGGTCTCCCATGGGGTGCAGGGCCCAAGCACTTGGGCCATCCTCCACTGCACTCCCAGGCCACAGCAGAGAGCTGGCCTGGAAGAGGGCCAACCAGGACAGAATCCAGCGCCCCGACTGGGACTAGAACCCGGTGTGCCGGCGCCGCAAGGCGGAGGATTAGCCTAGTGAGCTGGGGCGCCGGCCTCATACTTTTTACCTTAGAGATTTCCACAAGACAGAAATGAAGTAGGGCATTATATGCACTAGCATAACATGCAAACCTGCACCACCTTTGTAGCTCCAGGTCCTATGCTTAACAGGCAGGAGGAGTTGGTGCACAGGTCTGGCTGGTCTCTCGGAAGCCACTGTGTACAGAGGAGCTGGCTTTGCGAGGTTGCAGCTCACTGAATTCAGGGTCTTCCACAAATCCTTCTTCACTGCCAGGCTCTCTTATTACTCTCGTCTTTACCTCTTGCAACAGCAAAAGATACTGAGCAGTTTCCTTTTTTTCCCTTCAATTATGTGGGTTTTTAAAAATTTAATAGTTTTTAAGACTGAACAAAATAGGTAATAGATACATACCACTTAGTCGTCTCTGGAGTGCTTCTTCCTCTAGAGTAATAATATAAATTTGTTCATCCAGGTCTTCAAGAATCTAAATTTAAAGATAAAACTACTCAACAGTGCAATATTACAGAACTAATATCTATGAAAATAGGATATTTGGTCTATTGTTTTAAATAATGAGTGAATTCAAATGACTAAGAACCTAAAATAAAAATCCTCAAATTATTGTATTCATTAGTTAACTCTAAACATTATAGTGTATAACTGAACATATCAAAATTTGATTGCCGAGAGGCACCAAGAATGGCAGAATACATGACTAGCCTACTATTCTAGTCTAGGGGAAGAGAGTCAAAAACAAAAACAAAAACATGGAGAGAGTGCAATCTCAGGGAAGAGTTAGGGAGAACACAGGGGAAGCTCCATGCAAATCAGAGGGACACTGGATCTACGTGGAGGGTGTGGGGTGCACAGTTCAGGATCCCAGCAGCCCAGAGCCCCGCACCAGCTTTGGAGAATGAGGTGAGACCAGAATGCAGCAGCCCAAACCACTGGCGACAGAGCTGCAGGGACAGCCTGGCATGGATCTGGACTGCAGCCCCGTGGGGGACAGTGTGCCTGCCAACTTAAGGGTAGAAAAGGGGGCACATTTCTCTCTCTCCCCAACCACTCGGCACTGGTGTCCTGTAACTAGCTGGGAGCGGCAGACACATTTTAGGCATAGGTAACCCCTGCACCAGCTCGTGTCCATGTGTCCGGCAACCAGCTGAGAGGAGCCACCTGAGTCCAGCTGGGCGCCCTGACAGGGGCAGTCCTGTGTTAGGAGTTCCATGTGCTTGCTTTACTTGGACATCCCTTTCTTTCTCCAAGTTAGGGAAGTTTTCTGTGATTATTTCACTAAAAAGGCCTTCTAATCCATTCTCTCTTTCCATGACCTCAGGAACTCCTAAGACCCGTGTGTTGGGTCATTTGACAGTATCCCGTAGATCTCCCATAGATATGGGATAGTATCCCATAGGGACTGTGAGAACACTGTGGCTGAGTGGGTGGGTGCAGTGGGTGGCTGGGTCTTTGGGCAGTCACTGTGGGCAGATCCACATGCTCGGAGTTCCCTGATTCCCTGGTGAGGGTTACTGCTGCAGAATCTGTGCTCACACTGAGGACTACACGGATCCTCTGTATGGTTCTTGTGGCAGCGTGAATGAGGTGAGTGTGAGACTATGTGAGACTATGCCAACAGGGCTGAACAACCTCCCCTCTGATTAAAAAAAACAAAGAGGAGAGTTATCACACACAATTTGGAGTCACCTTGGACACTCCCCTCACCCTGGAGCACTGAACAGAGCTCCCTGTCACACGCAGCAAACATCTTAGGGTAGTCTCAAAGGAGTGGATACTCCACTAAGCCACAGAGGCATAGTCCAAAGATAAAAGCTGTCACAAGGGGAAAGAAAAATCTCCACAAATACCTAAAAATAAATGCAGCAATTCAAGAAACAGGAATAAGGAAGACAACATGGTGCCCCCAAAGGAACACAACACTTCAATATTAGAATGTGAAGATGAAGAGATTGAAGAATGCCAGAAATGGAATTCAAAAAACTGATCATAGGATTACTTAGAAGTAACCAGAAGCAAATCCATGAATTAGAGAAATCCATACATGACATGAATGAACACTTCTCCCATGAAATTGAGATCTTAAAGAGAAATCAAAATGAAAAACTGGAAACAAAGAATTCAACAGAACAAATAAAAAATGCAGTGGAAACCCTTAATGACAGGATCAGTGAGGCAGAAGAAAGAATATCTGAGCTTGAAGGCAAATCTCTGAAAATTTTACAGTCAGACCAAAAACAAGAAGAAATTAGAAAACCAAAAAACAGTGCTGGAGATCTATGGGATACTATCAAATGACCCAACACACGGGTCTTAGGAGTTCCTGAGGTCATGGAAAGAGAGAATGGATTAGAAGGCCTTTTTAGTGAAATAATCACAGAAAACTCCCCTAACTTGGAGAAAGAAAGGGATGTCTAAGTAAAGCAAGCACATGGAACTCCTAATAGACATGACCAGAAAAGATCTTCACCACAACACATGGTAGTCAAACTCTCCACAGTAAAACTTAAAGATTCTAAAATGTGCATGAGAGAATGGCCAGATGACTTTCAGAGATCTCCAATTAGACTCACAGCAGACTTTGCATCAGAAACCTTACAGGCTAGGATTGAATGGGGAGATCTAGTCCAAGTCTTAAGAGAAAAAAAAACTGTAAACCCAGAATATTGTACCTTGCAATGCTCTCACAGACTGAAGGTGAAAGGATGAAGAAAAATATTCCATGCTAACAGAAACAAAAAATGCCCATCAGAGAGAATAGACTTTAAAACAAAAACTGCTAAAAGAGACAAGGGCACTATACAATGACTAAGGGATCAATTCAACAAGAAGATGTGACTATAATAAATGTATGAGCACCTAATTACAGGCCCCTGGCTATTTAAAAGAAATGCTAATGTATCTAAAGAGAGACATAGACTCTAAGGTAGTCTACAGCTTTCTCAACAGTAAAAGTGTGAATTTTAAACAGTCAAAAAGTTAAGTAAATATTTCTTTATACACAAGCTATTATTTTAGAGGTAGAAGGGGCAGATCACTCAGTCCAGCATTTGTTCTCTCATTTACATTCACCCTTAAAATATCTAAACAAGAAATCTATAAATTACATAACATGCAATATTTTCCATTTATAACATCTTTATAGTCTAAAAAGTAAGCACTGGTATTATTAAAATCAGCCAATAGACAGAACCCTAGAGGGGGTATGTTTCCATAAACCACTTACACCAAGGCATACACCAGTAATGATCAATCACCAGCAAGAGATTATTTATATTGTATTCACTGGTACGTTACCTGCATTATCTTCAAAACTAATAAAAACTAAAATTGTTTGATTCTAGCTTTAACACAAATGTTCTTCTATAAAAGGAGCCTAAGTATATATAACTATATCCTAACCAGCTTTGGGGAAGGTCTGAAAGAAGTCTAGTGCTGAAATCCATGTCTTGTATCATTCAAACCCAAAATACTGACTCCTAGAAAAATAATGAACTGCGAGCAGTTGGTGGACCAAACACAAGGATGTGAACTCTACATGTGCATCTGCATCCTTTCAGCCACCTGATGAGGTACTCACAGGAAATGCATTCTCAAACCATTCAACCCTCCATCAGGTATCACATGTACACAGTTTATATGTCAATTATTTAAAGCCATCTAATAATTCCCAGTTTTTAACAATAATCTATAATCTCTTGTGGCCTAGTACTGAATTAATCACCAGGTACACATACCATCTCTACCTTTGGGAAACCTAAACTTGGGAGAGGAAAGCAAATAATAAGAATTAATTGATAACAAATAAATATATAAAGACAGATCATTCCATAAAGGATAAAGGATCAAAAGAAGGTGGAGGGGAGACCTAAACAGGCCAGCCAATGCAACCTTTTCAAGAAAATAAAGGGATGCATGAATCAGGCAAGAATAATCCAGACAGAATATACATGTGAGTGGGCAGGGACCTACTTTTGTTTCTTTCCCATTAATGCTGCTCATCACTTTCTACAAGTTGGATCAGAACTGGCAGCTTTTACTTTCCTCAAGGTCTAACACATGAAAAAGATCTTTATCTTACTGTGCACATTGTGGAATAATTACTTACCACCAGTTCAGTGTTGATGTGAGTGACAAGTGTCACCTTCCTTAATTTCTACAACAACTCCATGGAAAACAGACTGTTATCATTCCCATGCTACATTTCAGGAAACCAAAGTTGGCAAAGAAAAGTTATATGCCCTCAAAGCCTGTGTTCACAACTACTTCGGGCTGATGGGGACTTAAATGAGGGTAGGACATAGTACTTTATCTTAAAAAGCTTCTATTCTGGCAGAAGAGATGAGATGAATACAAAACATAATTATAGGATTAAAATAAATGTCAAGGGGCCAGTGCTGTGGGGCAGAGTGTTGAGACACTGCTTGCAATGCCAGCATCCCATAACAGAGTGTTGGTTCGAGTGCCAGCTACTCTGGTTCTGATCAGGTTCCTGCTAATTCACCTGGGAAGGCAGCAGGAGACGACCCAAGTACTTGGGCCCCTGCCACCCATGTGGAAGACCCAGATTGAATTCCTGGCTCCTGGCTTCAGCCTGGCCCAGTCCTGGCTATTGTGGCCATCTGGGGAGTGAACCAGCAGATGGAAGACTGACCAATCAACCAATCTCTGCCTGTGTCCACCCTCCCTCTCTCTGTCACTCTGCCTTTCAAATAAATAAATATCTTTATCTCAAAAATAAGTGTCAAAGGACAGGCCTTGTGGTCCAGCAGGTTAAGTGGTTAAGGGACTATGTGGGACGCCTGCAGCCCATACCAGAGAGTGAGTCCTGGCTATTCCACACTTCCAACCAGCTTCCTGCTAATGCACCTTGGGGGTGGATGCTGGCCTCGGCACAGGGATTCCTGCAACCTACATGGGAGACACAGATGGAGTTCCTGATTCCCGGCTTCAGCCTTGCCTACCCTGACCATTGCAGGCATTTAGGGGGTAAACCAACAGATAGAAAACCTCTCTCCCTCTCTCACTCTCCCCCTCCCTCCGTGTGTCTATGTGTGTACGTGTCTGCCTGCCATTCCCCCTCTGTCATTCTGCCTTTCAAATAACTAAATAAATCTTTAAAAGTAAAATAAAATAAAAGTCATAACAGAGGTTTAAATAAAATGTTAAATGAGGTCAGAGGAAGAAATATGACTTCCAGCTGGGGAGAAAATAAAGTGTGGGCCAGTGTTTCTGACAGTAATAGCATCTTACTTGGTAGCTTAAATTACTAGAGGAAGGGCATGTCAATCAGAGGAAACTACGAAGAACAAAGAGGTGGCAGGTACAAAGTCCATTCTCCAAGAAAGCCATCATGGCAGAGTAGAACAGGGGTCGAGAGCCTGGGCTCTGAAACAGCTTCTGAGTTCAAGTCACACCGATCTATCAACTTGTTCAAACTACTTACGAAGACAATTCAAAACCTACAGTTCGTCATCAAGATGAAGTGAAGTTTTATGAGTAAAATTACAGTTCTCATCTCTCTCTCTTGCTCTGTCTCTCCGGCTCTTTGTAACTGCCTTTCAAACAATACAGTGCTTTACCACTATCACGTAGTATTATCTCAATTACTCAACATATGACTGTTAATATTGAACGTTAGGAACAGGAAAAGAAGCAGAGGTAACTAAAGTTTTGAGGATACTATAAACAGGAGGTGAATTTGGGAGAAAAATTACCTTGGGGAGGGGAGGTCTGTAAGTAGCTCCATAGGGAATTCAATAGCAAGCTTTTTGTCACTTAATAAATTTAATAAACAAAAGGATTTCTAATGACTTACTGTTGGCTTCACGAGCAACTGACCCATCACTGTGAACATACGGGAGAGGCCAACTGGTGTACACACTGCCAAAACAAGAAGTCACCAACAGACAGAAAACCACGTTTCAGAGCTCAGAAACACAAACCATTAAGAAGCAAAGCAAATTCAAAGATGATCATTTTAAGGACATTGTGGTAGGGGCCAGCGCTGTGGCACAGTGGGTTAATACCCTGGCCTGCAGCGCTGGCATCCCATATGGGCGCTGGTTCAAGACCCAGTTCTCCACTTTTGATCCAGCTCTCTGCTATGGCCTGGGAAAGCAGTGGAGGATGGCCCAAGTCCTTGGACCCCTGCACCCACGTGGGAGACCCGGAGAAAGCTCCTGGCTCCTGGCTTCAGATTAGCACAGCTCCAGCCATTGCGGCCACTGAGGAGTGAACAGCGGATGGAAGACCTCTCTCTCTTTCTCTCTCTGCCTCTCCTATCTCTGTGTTAACTCTGACTTTCAAATAAATAAATAAATCTTTAAAAAAAAAAAAAAAGAACATTGTGGTCTCCAATTTAGATTCTCTCAGTGTTTTTCATCAATACAAGCAGAGGGGCAAGTGTGAGGAGCACAGGCATTCCTTCAGGAACATGTGTGTACTACAAGTATGAGTGTGTGAGTGGCAGCCAGGCCCCCCCCCACACACACACACATCTCCCTCCCTGGGAGAATTTCTTAGAGAATAACAGAAATATCCTACTACTTCATGGTTTCAGTTTATCAAAATGTATCCTAATAGAAAGAGTTAGAGACAACTCACAAAACTCTCCAAGTTTTTAGGAATCTCATCAGAAAAATTTCCCACAATTTTCTAGAATATAGACAACTCTACCTTCCTAGCAATATTAAATCAGAAAAATACTTACACAGAAGTAATAGACATCCCATCAATGATATACAAGAATATAAGTAGGGTAGGTAGAATTCCCAAAGATCTATAAAAAATATAAACATACAATATTAAATCCAAAATACTGAACATTAAGATATAGCCAGCCTAAATTAAGATAACATCTCTATTTTAAAATAGCTAACATAACTGCATATTTGAGTCTATTAAACTTAAAAATTTCCAATAAAAAGTTCTAAAGTAGAATAGGAAATAAATCTTTTGTTAAATCTATTTGGAGGGGTAGAAAAAACAAACCTTCATGGAACTTTGAGAAACCAATTAATAAAAAAAAATACCTCTGAAAAGCTGCTTACACATATATGAAACAAATGGACATTGATTTATTTTCTTAAGCTATCCAAACATGTCATTATTCTGTAAATTAACATCCAGGGTAAACTATACAAAGAATTATGATAATGCAGTTCAAAGCATTATGTAGCTATATGCCAGACCGTAGCTTCCATGATAGGAATTGGCTAGAACAAGAAAGTTCATACCATATAAGGACTCCATGCTGGCAGCATCATTGTCAATGAGCGCCGAAGCAACCCAGACTATCCCAAGAATCAGTAAGGCAAGGAGCAGAAGCATGACCAGGGTTTCTAAAATGCGGGCTCTGATTCCCTAAAAAATATAGCAGACATAATGTTAACATTTTATCTCATTTCATGAACCATTAGGTTTCTGCCTGTATGAAAGCATAAAATAATTACATGGGAGGGAAAAAAACACTAGTTTATACTGTATAGACTAACTTTTCAAAATTATGGGAAATAGTATTAAGCTTAAAGTAAAAAAAAAAAATCTTCATAAAAAACTTGGCAGAACCATTTTTAACAATTACTTGCCTATCATTTTCCATGAATAAAGTAGATTAAATGACTTCCTATCTGTGATTCTAATCAAGGGAATACAGGGCTAATCATGGCACATGGCCAGACAGTTTAGTGGACATTAGACGTGATGAAAGCACAATACACCACTTGACAGGGGAACACAGCAGGATGAATTCAGGTAGCTCCTCATAGCCTCTGGAGCCCTCTAGTGTGCATCTGAAGAACTGTCCATTGTAATCCAACAGTATAAACCATATGGGCAATACTTATATCAATTATATATAATAAATATACACACACAGACACACACACAATTATTTTCTTCATTAACCCTTGAAGCCAGGATATAATAATCACTATGTGTAATTCTGTTGTCTTAAAGATTTATTTATTATTTGAAAGGCAGAGTAAGAGAGAGAGAGATATTGAGATCTTCCAATCACTGGTTCACTCCCCAAATGGCTGTAACAGCCAGAGCTGCGCCGATCCAAAGCCAGGAGCCAGGAGTTTCTTCCGGGTCTCCCAGGAGGGTTCAGGGGACCAAGGACATGGGTCACCCTCTGCTGCTTCCCCAGGAGCAGAAGCTGAATGGGAAGTAGAGCAGCCGGGACTGGAACCAGCGCCCATGTGGGATGCCAGCACTGCAGGCAGCAGTTTTACCCACTACACCACAGTGCCAACCCTGAATAATTTTGCTTTAAAAGTAAAACAAATTTTGATTCAGGTCCTAACTAGAGACCAGACTTTTAAACTTGAAAATTGCTAGAAAATAAAACAAAACAAACAAACAAACAAACAAAAACAGAAATTTCCTTATACTTAAAAAGAACCCAATGGCTGAATCTACCTAAATTTAAAGATTCATATTGATACTTTGTACTATAAAACACCATTGAGCAATAAAAACTTTAGTCCATGGTTCTCAGTAAATCATGTACTCCTTCACTCTACATGAGAAATAGTTTAAAGAGATGGTCTAAAAATCCAAAACATATATTTATTTCAGTTGTCCTAAAAATTCTAATTTCTGAATTGTAGAATCAGGTGCACTTGGATCACAGCACTCTTGTTCCCCAAGTTCAATGGTCCAACAACCACAGAGGAAGAAGTATTCCTAGCCCTAAATGATGACCTCAGAGGTGAGGTGACTTTTCTACAGCCCTTCGACCATATCGGTCTTACTGCTGGGCTTCCCTTGGCAGGTTTAAATACTTCTCCCAACAGGACAGTCGGTTCACCTTGAGAGTTCATAGCAAGGGAGGCCAGTGAACCAGGATGAGTCAGGTTTGTATTATAACACATGAGATCTAATGGCAAGTAGCTATTATTCAAGTGAGACGCAACATGATCACGGAACACACTATGTTCCTAAGGAACCCTTTGAACTGTCCCTTTATAACCATCAAACTACTTAGGGTACCGAAACATGACCATAACTTTTTAACAGTGGCCCCGCCCTCTCTTCTTCTACCCTTCCTCTCTTGTTTCTCTCTAAGCAATCATCTTTTTATTACATCTTAAATATTCTGTGGAAAGCCTATAAATAAAAGATAAAAGCAGAAGGTACTTGGTATGTAGGTGCTACACCCCTCAGCTCTGTCTTTGCCTGCCTCCAGCTAGCTCCTAAGGAACACATCATCTAAACAGCAAGGCTTTAAGTGCCATGATATCTGAACTAAATGGGTTCTTGATAACATTAAGGTTCTCAGGAACCATATAAAACTCTTAAACCCCAAAATGTAATAATAATACAATAAGTATTATGCAAGTGTTATGACAATAATAAATGCTGGGGAATCCATCACCATAAGATTTACATATGTCCTGTGATATTTTGGTAAGAAACAGCTTCTCAGCAATTGAATCTGCTGTCTTCAAACATGGTCTTCTGTGCTGGGAGACCCCACTCCATGGGTCTCTCCCTCACGCGCATCTCACAGGCACAGGCAGAGACAGTCCTTGTTCTCCGCAAGGATGTTCGTAGAGCTGACGGTGGAGGAAGTGCGAGATGGCTCTCTAGAGCCGACAGTGGCGGGAGTTAGAGACGGATCTCTACAGCTGACAGCGGGAGAAGTTCGAGATGTATCTCTCCGAAGCAGGGGGCAGCTCTGTTTGCTGTCTAGTATGGGAGTCAGCATTCGTCTCACAGGTCACACAGGTCTAAGTCCAGCAAGTCAACCAAGGCTCAGCCTTCAGCTGGGCTGCAGTGTGCCTCCTCTGTGGGACTTGGGGCCAAGGGGAACACCAACAGGAACCTCACACATTTGCTGGGCTGATCCAGTTCTCTGGCTCTGGACCAGAAATCTCACTGCAAGCAGCAACCATGAAACTGGGAGACTACCTTACAAGTAGAACAAAAAATCTGACCCTTTACAATTCTTGACAGCTTTGGGAGATGAGAATGGAAGGCTAACAGAGATACACCTTTCTGGAAAAGAACGGAGAAGATACCCTCCTCCCCAGGTTGGGTTAAGGGATGTGAGAAGACTCAGGATGGAGGAGTGAATGCCCCTCCCACATGGTAGACAAATGGAAGAAATACCGGCCCCCAAGGTCCCTGCCTGCTCATGCACACACAAAGGCTAGGCCACACAGAGGGAGCGAGACAACAGACTGGCAACTTGGCTGTAGCTCCCTCTCTTCAGAGTTGAAGCAGGAAGGGATGTTATCACAACAATAATAAACCAACCATGCTATACCCATGGGCACACCTGCAGAATCAAGGAGTCTGAAGCTGAATAAATGGTGCTGGGAATGAAGACACAGAATTTTGTATAAACGGAAGAATTACAAGTTTGTCCGAGGCGGGTTGCTGGTGCGGCACAGCAGCTTGTGACTGCCTGTGACTCCAGCATCCCACAAAGGAGTGCTGGTTTGAGTCCTGTCCAGCATCCCACATAGGAGTGCTGGTTTGAATCCTGTCCAGCATCCCACATAGGAGTGCTGGTTTGAATCCTGTCCAGCATCCCACATAGGAGTGCTGGTTTGAGTCCTGTCCAGCATCCCACATAGGAGTGCTGGTTTGAGTCCTGTCCAGTATCCCACATAGGAGTGCTGGTTTGAGTCCTGTCCAGCATCCCACATAGGAGTGTTGGTTTGAGTCCTGGCTGCTCCACTTCGGATCCAGCTCTCTGCTAACCCAGCTGGGAAAGCAGTGGACCATGGTCTAAGAACTTGAGCCCCAGTAACCCACATGAGAGAACCGGGTGGAATTCCAGGTACCTGGTTTTGGCCTGGCCCAACCCTGGCTATTGCAGCTATATGAGGAGTAAACCAGAGATACAAGATCTCTCTTTCCCACTCCTCTCCTATCTCTCCGTCACTCAGCCTTTGAAATAAATAAACCTTTAAAATAAGAAAAGTCTGGTTGAGCCATAAGCAGCCACTAGGCCACTCAAAATGAAAGGTGCTTTGCTTAATGGTGTGGGCCATTCACTTTCTCCAGGCTCCCTCTTCCAGCCTCATCTCTACTCCAACCTCAAATACTGTAGGAAAAAAGACTGCAGTACCATGCAGCTCTCCCCGTCCTCAGGGGACGTGAAAGCCCCACATGTCCACCTGGGAATGCACTGCAGGGAGGAGAGGGATACGAACATGTATGGCTCTGTTGGATATGGAAGCCCAAGCATGACGCCACCTGATCCTTCACAAAGGACTACACAGAACTGCTGCTGAACAATGACTCTGGGTAGAGACAAATAACTACAAACATGGCTATAAACTAAAACGCAATGCCAACAAACATGTTTGAAAAGAGAAGTCATTTAACGATAACAATTCTAGTTATCTAATAAAAAAATTTTAGAGGGCAGAAAAAAAGAGTTAAAGAAAAATTTCATTTTAAATCAGGGTCATTTAAAATGATGACTAGCATTTCTCATTTTACTCTGAGAATAGTAAAATTAAAATAATTTTAATTTTGTTAAAAAATTTTTAATTATGTTAAATTTTTAATTATGTTAAAAAATTAAAGTTACCAGTAATCTTACTAGTTTTAAAATAATAGTACTATTAACAGGAATAGTAACCATTATCAAAAGTAGTAATGCCTTTTAAGATCCTAGAGGGCCAGCGCCGCGGCTCACTAGGCTAATCCTCCGCCTTACGGCACTGGCACACCGGGTTCTAGTCCCGGTCGGGGCACCGGATTCTCTCCCGGTTGCCCCTCTTCCAGGCCAGCCCGCTGCTATGGCCCGGGAGTGCAGTGGAGGATGGCCCAAGTCCTTGGGCCCTGCACCCCATGGGAGACCAGGAGAAGTACCTGGCTCCTGCCTTCAGATCTGCGCGGCGGCCATTGGAGGGTGAACCAACGGCAAAGGAAGACCTTTCTCTCTGTCTCTCTCTCTCTCACTGTCCACTCTGCCTGTCAAAAAAAAAAAAAAAAAAAAAGATCCTAGAGAAAAGGGAAAAATAGTCAACACAGTAAAAACCAGTAAACAAGTCTAGCAAAAATAGTAACAAACAATAAAATATATAAAGCAACAGAGAAACAGAGATAAAAGATAAAATCAAATGTAACCACTATGACTGTGTATGCAAATTAGGTCAAAAACCAGAATTCACTGCAGATATTTGACACAGCATTTAAGACACCACTTGGGACTTGTGCATCCCATACTGGGGTGCCTGATTCCAGTCCCAACTCAGCTTCCTGTTAATGAACACCCTGGGAAGCAGCAGTGATAGGTCAAGTACTTGGGTCACTGCCACCCAGATGGAGGACCCAGGATTGAGTTCCCAGCTCCAGGCTTCACCTGGTCTAGCCCTGGCTGTTGTAGGAATTTGGAC